TGATGCTGGCTACTAGGTAGACAAATCCATCACTACTTCAAAAGAGTCTTTATTTTTTGCATGAAGGTACTTTGCCTTGTTCTCGTTCACCAGTAGACCAACCTTTTTTGCCTACTACTTTAAGCGGGGTAATGATGCGTTCACTGTCCTGATGTTGAAACCGCTGATCTGCGTAGACGAACAAAAGTGAGTCGCATTGTCTAAAATCTCGTCCCGAACGACGCGGGGAGCTATTTTCCAATTTGGACCAAGCTTAAAGTTGTACTCAACGGCTTGTTTGCGTACTATCAAAAGTAGCGAAAACGTTGTGGGGGTCTAAAATTGTTTGCCGTACTGTGAAAATGTAATCATTTTCCAGGTATGTACCCAGACTGATAAGGCCCAATCAATTGATTCACAAAAGCTTCACTCTTTCACAAAGTCTCATCGATAGGGCCTTATATGCAATGGTGATAAGGCTTATCCCGCGGTAAATGGCGCAAACAGCATGATCTTGTGTCTTGTCGATTCGGCAAAGTATACTGAGATTCCGACCTTCGGGCATGAATTTGTTAGATCAAATTTTGCTTAATAGCTGGTACATGCGCCCAACCAGCTCTTCACTATCGCTTTGAACAGCTCAGCCGGTATTCCGTTCGCTCTAGGCGCTTTGTTGGCTTTCAGCTGCTTTGTTGTGGTTTTCTACCGTGTGTTTGCCAAATTGATGCCCGGTTGCGCCAATCAATTTTAGCAGTCTAAAGGTAGGGTCACACAATTGGTATATTTGTACAGATTTGTTTTTTTTTTTAATTTTTTATATTGGGCTATCGGCGTAAAACTGTAGGTCCCTGCGCTGTGACAACATTAAGGCGCACACCATAAAGCGGAGGAGAAGCTCGGCCAAACACTAACATATGTGTAAGCGCCAATCCAATAATAATTGGTAAAAAATTAAGAAAATTAGACTACAAATTGTTTTATAGACACAACGATTAGTAAAATACAGCTGACTTCTATGGAAAAATTTGAACAAATTGTTTTTCGTGATTGGGGTAAAGAAAAATATTTGTGAATTCACATGATTTGGATACAATTTGGACCAAATTTTGGGCAAATTCCCAATCGTGTGACACTTCCTTAAAAAATTTTAAAACTGATTGGTGAGACCGAGCATGAGAGATGTATTAGTCTTTCCTATACATTGGTCTTGGTTCATCTTCTTCGTCAAACGCGCCACCTGTGTAGCTGTTCAAAAGCGTCAGGAAATGTTTTCTCTTATCTCAAGTGTATTCTGGACGAATGTTACCACATATACATTTTTTGCTCTTGCTTTGAAAGACTACCTTATTTTCTGAATTTTTCTCGCTCTTTGAACTCACGCCTTTCTCCCTCTTTAACATACGTATCTTCTGTCCTTTTCCCGGTACCACTAAATTGTTGCCCGTTTCGCAATTTATTGCAGGGTGTTTTGGTATGCTGAGTAAACATTTCTCTGCAGCAGCTATTTCTGCTTTGATGGTAGCAACCAACCACTTCTTTCATAGTTGTGCGAAGTGATTAGGAGATAGAATCCCACTGCTAATTTATGTCCAGGCAATGGAGAGTTGCTTGACTAAGAGGAATTGAGAGTTGGTTTCGAAATTTCTTGGTTTGGACTTAAAACTTACTCTGCATTACCAGGGGCACCTTCTTTTTGCACAGAGGCGCATGTGGACAATAATTAATCCGAGTCGATTTAAGCTCGTCGGATGGAGCGCACGTAAAGATTCGCTCCTATTCCGATTGCCGGAACGACAGTCATTCGTCGAAATTTGAGATTTTCATTGGCGTTATGAGGCAACCAATGACAAAATCTACTACAAAATTGTATTCCTATTATCCTTTCGAAAGGAAGAAGTATTGAAAACGTGTTAAAATCTGTCGTTAATATTTTTATTTACGACAAAATTCAACGAACGACTGTCGATGCGAACGACATACGACAACCAGAATAGGAGTAATTGTTTTGGCGTATATAACAAAAAGTTTAGTTTGATTTTTGTTTCTTTGATCATGAACCACTGAACTTAGCGTTTTCGTGGGCATGGGTACAAAATCCACAGATAAACCTATTAACTTGCAGTTTGCGAGTTCGTTTCTCAAAGGAAACTAGACCGAAGTCTAACTTGCGGACAAGGAATCGACTGCAATAGATCACCACAAAACCTCATTAGTTTATTGTTTTCAACATAATTACCAATATGACTCGAACTGTACTTGAATAGACTGTACTTGAATAGACACAAATTTTACGCGCACAGTTTGAACTTCAAGGCACTTTTATAGGTTGTTTAGCTTACTCGTACACAAAGAACAAGGAACATTTTGCGTGTATATATTGGCACATATGCGGCGTCCACTCCCAATTCACATGCCGTGTAGCGCTTGACAACGCCCAGCCCAAACAAAAAATATATCTGCTAAACAACAAAAAAAAAAGAAATACTGATTATCCTACGGTGAATGTCCTATCAGTTCACTACACAATACCGCCAGACAAAAATATACTATAAATAAAACTACCATATGCATATATTCATGCTTATGAACATTCATATAATTAATTTCCGTTCTTCTCCCGTCACAGGATGATGACAATTTCTTTGATGAACCAACGTCAACTGTCAGATATGGCAACTGCAACACGGCGCACGTCGGTGTTTGCTCGCAGCCACAAATGCCTCCCTATCCGATTAGCGGCTATATGACAATGAGCAGCGGTTATGGTGCGGCCGCCAGCAGTGGTGGTGTGACCAATCCAAATATGAAAAGCCATGCGGCCACAACACAATTGCCGTCAGCGTTGACAACGCGGGTGCTACGCCGAACAAGTAAGTTTTGGTGAACCGGGTAAAATTTTAGGGTGATTGAAAATATATAGTTCTAATTGGAGTAAATTTTCTTAAATATAAATGTTGTGCGAATATGAGCACCTAAAAGTATGCCAGTAACAAAAAAGTGCACTTTTGCAAGGCATACTTTTAGGCGATTGCCCCAATATTTGCAATGCAATAAATGGTTTTCTAATAGATGCTGTGTATTTTGTAAAATACCAATGTATTTGTTGTCTGATTGTTCGACACTCGTATAACTAGATTTGGTTTAGTTTTTATTATTTTAGATTGCTTTGGTTTATTTTAATTTTATCTAATGGTTTTTTATTATTATTTCCACTTTTCTTTTTCTTCCACCTTCTACATTATTTTGTTTATATTGGATTAAATACGCAAATTGCGTTAATGCGTTTTTGAAAAAATGTTTTTTTTGTGTGTTTTTACTTTATTGGTACATTTAAAGGTATTTGATTGGTTTCTTTTATTAACTAAAATGCAGTGAACACCTTAATTAACTTTTACATCCCTTATTTATGTTATTGAGAGCACAAAGAACAAAATCAATGTTTGAAAAATTAATGAAAGCATTTTATTTTTTTGCTTAATTGAACGGTTAAAATAAAATTAAAATAAGTTTACTAAAAATTTTTAAAAATTATGCGGTGAAGGTCCTGCGCTAAGAAAAACCAAAAAAAAAAGTTTGTAAAAAATACTTAACCCGTAATTAAAACCAAAATGTATGTAGTGATAACTGTACACGGCTAAATGAGCCGGCCGTTCATTAAAATTCCTTTTAGTTAGTAGAAATACCCAGAAAAAACTCGAATTAGTATTTTTATACTTTATTTAAGTTTTAAGCAAATAAAGAACCTTTGTAAAATTAACTTTAAGTTTGTAATTTAGTTGTGCATGCTAAGCTTTGGGGAACTTATCAATTCCTTCACAATTTCCCAGCCAACGTTTGAGGTCCATGCGATCCTTTTTCGTTAATTCAATTTAGTAAATTTACCTTTTTGTTCGAGGCCATAAAATTACAAAAAAAAAATAGACTACTTATAATATATGTAATTAACAAACAACACAATTTTTTCAGAGATATATATTTAATTTATTGAGAGAACTAAAAGTCAATTAAAAAATCATTTTTCCTCTTTGCAATCAAATTCGCTTTAAATGCAAACAAAAATTTGTTTAACAAAATTAAAATCATAAAAACTCCTTGAATGGAAATTTTTTGCTCTATGTAAAATAAAACGCAAAACCTGCGCACAACTTGCCGCCGTATATGCGCCATAAATTATGCTACGAAATGTGTATTTGCAGAGGACTCGTACACTGAGGATGAGTACCATAGGTTCTTCGACAACGCGCTGGAATGTAAATATGAATGTTTTTTTCCTTAACATTTCTATCTATCTTCTCTAAGTACATTCATCTTCGCTCGACTGCGCTCAAATTCATATTCTTTTCTTAAACAAATACTCGGAAACACATTTTCGAAAAAAATTATTACTCTTACATATAACTACTTACTACATAAATATTATAAATACATATCTACATATATAAGTGCATAGTACATTGCTTTATATGTTTATAAGTCCATAAGTAATAGGTATTATTATGTATTTTGACTACAAAATTTTTGTTCAAAACCAACAACGCGCTTTCTATTGCTAGTCAGCCTCTATGTCAGCGTTTCTTATTCATTTCGTTTGCATTCGATTATGACTCATGCGTCATTTTCTACCCCAAGTCAGTCGACTGCTGTTAAGCGCCTAAAATGCTACAATAATTTACACATTACCTTTATACTACATAACATCCATTTGTGTTTGTCAATGCATAGTATCCCAGTGGGAAAATGTAATGTATAGTAATCGAACAAGTTATTAGTAAAATAACCCTTTTTACATTCGAAAATGAGTTTTTCCGCCGTAGAAAAGTGGGGCATTCATTTTTGCATTATCAGTAATGCAAAAATTAATGCGATTTAACATGAAGTTCTTGGGACTTTTTGGATACATTAGAATACTGATTGCATATTAAATGGTAATAAAGTCTAAAACTCATAAGAAGTACATTACATTAGTTATCACGCATGCAATGCATTACTACTTTTCCCACTGGGATTTTGGTAGGTTTGTTTATTTTCACACTTTCCTTCTCAACCTCGCCGATTGGTTTAATTTGATACTTAAGGATAATGAAAAGGGAAACGAACTAAATTCAACTCATTTGCATATTAAATATTTGTGGTTATTGTTGTTTGCTTTTATCGCTATTCATTTCGCATTCGATTACAATGTTTATTTTCCATATTTATACTGGTACTTGTATGTAGTATTTCTCCGTTGTATGTGTTTAAATTGTGGATATTGGTGTAAGTTTTTATTAAACGTACAATTTGTTGACCTGAATTGAAAGAAAACTCAACACTTGGCGTACTAGGTCCTAGGAAGCCCACAGGGACATTGCATACCTACATATGTTCTAGGGTGTTCGATTATTTGCCTTTTTTCGAAAAGCGGTTTTCGAGTATACATATGCCCAAACCATTGGATCTTCCCTTTTCCTCAGCTTTCCCTTATGTGAGAATGAAGACAGCATGTACCTACTCGATTAATGGATTTATACAGAGTTCAGTTATCTGTCGCAACCAGTGTACGAAAATAAACTATATTGTACGTTACTATTTCGTTTCGTTTATTACTTTAACAGTTCGGTACAATACGAAACAAAACGGCTGAGTTCACTTTGGCGATAGTACACTACAGTAGTTTAGTAGTTACAGACGAAACAACAAACGAAATGAATCGTGCAGGGAAAATATTTTTATGTATGTACATATATGCAATAAACAAATACAAAACGAATGGCTGCAATGAATAAAAAAAATAAAAATGTTTTTTAATTGAATTGGATATGAAAATTTACAGAAAAAAATTATTTTTCACGTAATTGAAACGTTTGCATACATATAAAACGTACCCTATGGTACGATTGTCACAAACGAAAAGCAAACGTTTCTCGTTGGGGAAAATGACAGTGAATCTTACAATTTGTTTCTGACTATTTACAAAACTGTACAAAACCACAAATGATATGATGATCGATGAGCAAATGGGAATTGTTTTGTACAGTTTATTTTCGTACCCTGGTCGCAACAAACTAAAAATTGTGAAACAATTTCGTTCAGTTTTCCTTTTATTTTTTAAGTAATTTTCGGCAATAGAAAATTTTCCAATTTTCAGACAAAAAATTAATAAAAGTGTTCTTGTTTCACTTTCAATAAAATAAATATTTTGGAAGTTTAGATTCTGGCATATTAGTAATTAGGTGAAAAGCCGGTTTATTCGATTGAAAAAAATCAAGATTTCAAAAAAAAAACGCCTAAATATGTATATTCAAAAAACCGATTGAAACCAGTTTGGAAAAATCACATATTGGCTTCATTTAACTTCCATTATTCAAAAATTATAGTGTTGAAGAATTTTTGAACTTTTCCAGGTCAAGCAGGTCTACTAAAGAAGAAGACGAGAACAAAAGTTTTGAGAACTTTACGTTAAGAATGAGAGGAGCATCTGCATGTTGGGATGAAAAAACGTTCCTGTGAGAACCAAGATTTTTAATTTTAAGTCAAAGTAAAGCTGGATCATATCAACTTCCAGATCGTTAGGGGGAATTGTCCATTTATGGAACAATTTTTAATTTTCTGTGCAAGAAAAGTTCGTGTCTTAAGTCTTTCGTTGACTTTATTTGCATAATTATGTTTCACTTCTTTTTTGATTAATTTTAATATTCAAACATTTCAATAATGAAACGCTGAGAAAAATTTAACTCTCGCCTCTTTTCCTTGCGAGACTTCTGTTCCCGATTTGCTCCTTTCCAAAACGTTCCGGAGATTTTTGGTTCCATGTTCTCTTAGAAATGCTCCCAAAAGTATTGTTCGCATTTTGTTCTCTTTTGAAACGTTCCACAGGGATTTGTTCTTATATAATTGCCATTGAGAACGTTCTCGGCAGTTTCATTCTCATTTTACTTTTGGTTTTAAAGCGTTCTTGGGAACAAAAGTACGAGAACGACAATTAGTTTCGATCATACTTTATGTTCTCGGTCCCTGAAATAAATAAATACACAAATAAATACATATGTCCCCCTAACTTTCTTTAATTATAAACAGAACCCAATTTTGTAGCTACATAGGTGTATAAATATATGTATACATCCATACACAACTCTATGTCCTTATCATCATCTCTTCCGTTGCCCTGAAACACATTCACACGTATCCAATTTGGTCAAATGCATGTTTTTCGCCTTTCATAAATATATTAAAGATCTTTGTAGATATTCGCATTTAATTCTATGTAGCTAGTTTTTCATTATACATTCGTACATTTTGCATAGGTTTTGCATTTACATAAATACATACATATGTAGTATGTACATTTTCAACACACTTTTATATGCACCCACACGAGCACCCTTTTCTTATCCCTTTACGTGCCAATAATTCAAATGAATCCTTTCTTCTTTTGTTTTCGCCAGCTTATGACCTCGCCACCCAATGCGAATCACGACGCGCCTCTCTACGCCGCCATACCATTGTCGGCTGTCAGAGCAATTTCGATGAGACTCACTCGATGCCGCCACCGAGACCCGCATCGCGACAGTCAGAAGTGAGTTCTGTTGTTGGACCAGGTGGCTGTGCTGAAGCGGCGGTTACAGGCACAACTAAACAGGTAAATCGTTAGCTCGGACTTTGTTTAATTTGGCCTTTCTTTAGTTATTGTTTGTGCAAACTTTACGATGCCTTTTCAGCTACACAACAACTATAATCAAAACAAACAACAACAGCAATTGAAACGTTCTCAAAGCCCCAACACAGCCGCTCAGAGCATGAGTGCCAGTGTATGCAGCGGTGAGAGCAGCAATTGTAGCCGTTCGTTATCCTCGGTTGGCCCATGGAGCAAGTCCTTTCTGGATGAGGAAACCTGGCTCGAACGCGGTGACGATCGCCTCTCGTTGACACTGGAGGAGATAGTACATATACGTTCGGTAATGACGAAGGCAGAATTAGAAGGACTGCCTGTGGGTGTGCGTGTCAAGGAGGATGTCGAAAAGCGCAAAGTTTGCTTCCTATGCCTGCGTACACGTTTCTCTATTTTTGGACCGTGGGGCATACAATGCAAATTGTGTCAGCGCACTGTCTGCTCCAAATGCTACACCAAGGTATTTACGTTAAAAAATGTATTGCGTATACGTTTCGATTTTCAATGTCATCACTTTTAGATGAGAATACCAACGGAGCACTTCCGCAATGTACCGCTGGTGCCGATTTCACCATCACTGCTCGCCAGTCCGGCTGGCTCCAGCACGCCATCACCATCACATCACGCTCACCACACGCACTCATCCTCGACAGGTAACATATTGGACGAGACGTTTCCCAAATCGTTAATTGAGCGTTTGTTACGTTCCGAGTCAGAGCGCAAGGTAAGTGGCGAAGATTTAGTACTTAAATGTGCGATGATGAATGATGCGATATGAACACATTTGTCGGTTGTAATTGATATTGATATCGATATATATGTATGTATAAATAAATCGATAAATATGTAAACAATCAACAAATATCGAAAAATATATTTGTAAATGCATCAAAAATGGCGTTGAAATATACATACATAGTACATATCGATAACAATACTGATCGAGATTTTAGCTATGAACAAATCAGGAAAATTATATATGTATATCGATAACAATATTTATAACGATATATGAAAATTTATCGATAGCATTAACGATAACGATATAATATATTTATAGAATTTGTTTACTCATTTATCGAAATCAATCTATCGATAACATTAACGATATCGATATTCGTAATGGTATCAAAAAATACATATTACATACATTAGTAAGCTTTTAAGTTGTTTATTTATTTATTTTTTTGGAACTTGTTTTGAATTTTATTTAATTAATTTCAGACTCGCAACACGGTGGGTAGCGCTCCGTCATCGCCCAAACACCAAAGATCTAATATGAGTACACCCGGCACAACCCACATTGTGACCACCACCCGAACGGGTGGCACCTGTGTGACCGGACAAGCCGTTGAGGCTGACGATGCTTCCGTGATGACGTCTTCTTACAACAGCAATATATCAAATGGCGGCCATATCAATATGCACGCCAGCACCAATAAGCATATTAACATTATGTCACGCAGCATGGAGGGGCCGCGTAGTTTGCCGGCGAATAGCCCTGCACGCGCGCATTCAAACAGCAGCACCTTAGATCGGAAGTAAGTTATTACTCGACATGCCCCGTCAATTGTGTGTGCCGAACAAATTTTGACATTATTCTATTTCCATTTTTTTTGCAGAACCAAATTTTCGCGCGCCTTCATGCTATCCGCTTCCGGCAGCCAACTAAGTCAGGAGCAAAAGGAGAATATGCGCGGTGAGCTAGTCACCGTTTGCAATGACTGCAAGGGACTCGTTATGGAAATTACACGCTCCTCCAAGCAAACACGCTCCTCAGCGCGCAATCGTGCTTTGCAAAATCTTTCGCTCGACCTTTCGCCGGTTTACAAGTGAAAGGGTGACATTGGTAGACCCAAAGGAGAAAAGTCAGCGAATGCGAATATTGGAAGCGACAAATGTTAACGCAATGCTTGCGCGTTTGGAAAATGACAGTGCCCGCTGTAGAGAGTGTTGAAATGTGTGCTGCTACCGAGGTAGACCGTTGGCCTGAAATAAACTTACTTCTGCACTTCCAGCTCACTCTTCCACTGATGAGCATACTTTTACATAGACATACGAGCACAGTTTGAACCAAGGCACTTGTCGTCGAGTCGCTGAAAAGTGTGCACCACTATTTGTAAATAAACAACAACTAATCTCATAAATTGAAATGTTAGAATTTCGTTTTTAAACAAACAAAAATCTGAAGGAAACCCCAAGTGTTGAAACGAACCCTGCTGTTTATATCGAAAATTCACTAACTATAATTATTAAGTTCCAAGAATGCACCCACCATTATATTAAAAAAAAAAAAAGTTATGTACGCTGTGAGGCAGCTTAGAACTACACAAAAGCCACAGCTCGTTGTGCTTTAGAGAGCCTGAGGCTGAGATAGGAAAAGCAAATCGATTTCGTGCATAGTTATGCAAGAGTTTAGTTTCCTTCATTTTTAGTATTTGAGTATTAACTATTTGAAACGAAAATTTATCGTAGTTATGCTTTAAAGTTTGATATAAGCAACCGATTTTCTTTTAGTCCATTTTATTTATGCATTCGAGCTATACTCCGAAAGAAGAGTTTTCTTATAAATTATTTTATTTTATGTAGTTCAAGCGCGGCGCTGCTAGAATGTTCTTTTTTCATTTAAATTTCAAATTCCGGTTATTTTTTTTTATAATTTTTGTGACTTCGAAAGAGTATTTTTTTTCTCACTCTTTACTACTATTTTACGCGCGATTTGCATGGCCGCTAAACATGATTGGTTTCGTAAGAATTGTACAAAGAGAAATAATTAATATGTTTGGTATTGACTTCCTTTTTGTCTACAGGATAGAAAATATTTATTACTATTTTTTTTTTTTGTAATTCGCATATTATTAGTTTACCCGTTAATTTTTTGTGTTGTTTTGTTTATTGACATATCTTTTTTCATAAAATGCTAATAATTTGTGCACGTGATAATGCTACGAACACTTACCGATTAATGTATCTATTAAAAAATTTAGTTTTAAACAAAACGAAAAGGTAAAAATTAACTTTTTTCACAATTAACTAATTTGTAAACAATTTGTACTATTACTCTAAACACTATAATATTAATTTATTTAGCGGCGCAGTAGACGAATGTCACTATCATCATAAACATAAAGAAACATGCATATTTATACTTATATATTATACTTATAAACATATACATACATATTTGTGAAATCGCTTAATTTTAGTTAACGTTCTTATTGATAGTAACCCTGTTTTCGATTTCATACTTTTTGTTTTCATATACATTTTTATGTTTTAAGTTTCGATTTAGTTTTGTAAAAATTCCACGACTTGAAAAAATATTACATGTATTAAAATATTAGCCATTAACAAAAATAAATAATTATACATACATACATATAATAAAAAGCTAAATACCACAAATGTACAAATACCGTTAAAAAAGTTGG